ATGGGACTAATTTCCTGCAACTGTGAACAATCAGCTGTTATTACATTATGCATCATACCTGTTATATATTTGGCATTTTTAAGAAATGCCACTCTTGCATAACTTCATACCATGAATATTATAATACTAGATAGTGTAGGCTTTAGGTATTCTAATAAACACTTTGAATATACATTACCTTCTTAAGTGGCTTAAAATCGAAATATTTCCACACTTGGAAATGCTCCCTTAATGTTTGCTCCATGAAAGGATAATCAAAAAACTCTGGATATCAAAAAATGAGAGGTGATTTTATTATATAATATGTGTAGACCAGTGACATGAACTGGCGCTTCAGCCATCTTAAATACACAGAGTCGTGCCAAATGTTCAAAGCTCCGCCTCTCACCTCAAAGCAGTCTGAATGAACAGTGATGGTATTGAAAAGTCACCAGTGACATTTTGCAATGCCATCTCCAGCCCACTGCTTCACCATAACCACCCTATAGAGTTTGAAGCCTGCATCGAAGCCTCTGTGTTGGACATAACATCACTACCTTTCATCAAAAATTGTCTGCATAAGTTAGAGTAAAACTTTGTAAAATATAAAAAAAAAGCTGTCAAAAATGTGAAGAAAAATACTATCAAAAGCCAAAGTTAATAGAAAAGAAAATATATGAAAATTAAATTGGCATTGTGTTTGAGGTAATTTTTTAATAAAACAGCCAAAATGTTCTTCTAGAATTGTAGGTTATTCATTGTAGAGGTGAGAATCAAGTGACTCTGTATCTGCTCACTTGGGGGTTAGATGTGGTGTGTTAGCATCTCCTTAGTGCAAAAAAATCCATCTCCCTCTCATTTTTCCTCTGCATCCATGTCCTGTTTTGCCTCAGGCAAAGACATCTTTTCACTCTGATATACGAGGGCAAGTCGGAGCAAAGCCCAAGGTTTAGCTCACTGACGCAGGTGTTGGAAGGTCTTTCTTTTCCACTTTCTTTTTTTTATGACCCTCTTTTCTTAGGCAAAAAGTCAAAAATAACAGTTTCAGTAATAAAATAAAAATTGATCCAAGGTAACCCAACAACGGGGAGTATTTGCAGAAGACTGTCAAGGCTCAGAACTGAAGGATCCAGTATTCGAGGCCGACAAACTGTTAGATTTCTCAGAATGTTTATTGAAAACAGAAGCGAGTTGGACGGCGTTGTGTCTAAGGCAGAAACCTCTGCAGGTAGAGACAGCATGTTAATGACAGAATGACAGAGTCTTTCTGGAAGTGTCTGATCACGAACGAGTGAATAATTAACCTGGTCTTATAGTTCAGTCCAGAGGTAGAGGGTGGTTCTGGCCGGCAGGCCAACGCAGCGCAGCGACAGCCGCAGAGAGAGTCCCATACGCTGATGTATCGGTCAGAGGACAGGCAGAAGATAAGAACCAGGCAGACGGATGAAGGCAGGACGATCCAGAGGGCGAAGCCAAAGCCGAAGTCGGTGATGTGATGGGTTGTCAGAGCCAGGATGTAAGAGATCCGGTGATATGCCAAAGGAGAATCCAAGGCGGAGACAGGTCCCAGTTCCAGGTACAGTACAAAGTGGGGCTGATAGGCTGGACGAGGTCAGGTAGACTCAGTGGTCAGGAAACTGTTCCGGTCAGTATACAAGCAGGCAGATATCAGGCAGGAGTCAGAAGACAGCTCAGGCAAATGGATCAGAAGGGAACAGGCAACCTCAGAGGTCGAGAGGGAGAACAGCTCAGGATCAGGTAGTCAGAATATAAGTACAGTAGAATAATTCTCACCCATGGCTCGAATAATCTAGCACCGAGGACTGATCTGAAGGCTGGTTAAATAGAGACTAATGCAGGTGGATCAGATAAGCAGGTAATGACAACTGGATGAAGCTATGCAGGTGTGTGAAATAAATAATCAGACCAAGCATCAGTGCTGAGATCACAACAGAAGACATTGTTGGGCCATAAATCATAATAATAATTTTTTGATATAGGGAACTTATGTCTATGGTTTATATTAACGAGAGGACGAAGGTTTGCCTGCAGCTGACTCTGCTCAGCAATCCTGTGGCACTGAGGACATCATTGCTGTGGCCTGCTACTGATAAATGCAGAAGGAAAAAAATCAAGCCTCCCAAATGGAGATACAGAGGTAGAGGTCTGGCATGGGTCAGGGAGAATTTCTAGTTAAATAATTTATGTCGTTGATGATTTTTGATCATTTCATGTGTTTACTATTAGGTAAAGAAAAAAATGGAGCGCATGGTACGCCATGCTAACATGTTTGAGCTGCTGTTTGTGAAGCTAGAACAAGCTTTATTTCACTAAAGGTTTAAACACCATTATATCTTTATCATTCATGTGTTGTGTGTTATGCTCATTGCATTTTCATTAACAAATTATGACCAAAAGTAATTTAATGGGAGTCATCATGTTTGTTTGCTACTAGCTAAATAAAAGAAGGTATAGATTTCTTATCATGCGAGTCTTTTAATAAAACATTATTTCGCAATATTACAAAAAAAGGAACTCAAATCCTGAAGTTACTGCTAAGTTGAACATACCTAGGTCTTCCAGATTGACATAGACCCCAAAAATCGGGAATTGAAGGAGTGGCTCTATAAAAAAGCAATTCAAAGTTGTTGAGAACTTTACCAGTCTCAAAATCTCAATCCATAGAAAACTCGTAGAGGGAGCTTAAAGTCCATGTTGCCCAACTACTGCCTCAAAAAATCACTGTTCTAGTCGAGATCATGGAGGAAAAGACCAAAATACCAGCTAGGTTTGTGCAAACCTGGTGAAGTCAAAAACGTCATTTACACTACCCTTTTGAAACCGTGCCGAGAACGGTCCGAGCATGTTAACTGAGATAACTGTGGAGTGTAAATGGAACCCAACTGACCTGGACCGCGCAAGAAACAACTGAACCACGCTAAATCTAGTAGGCCTACTAGTTCAACAGTAGGGCTCGGCATGGTTCAGTTGTGGCTCGGTTCTGTGATAAAGAGCTCATGACCAGACCACATCATCTCCTATTTACAGTCAGCTGACTCCGGCGTTTCCGGCATTGCAATTCACAGATCTCTTCACCTGTTCACAATGCAAACTTCCTCTCAGCCTATTAACAATTAATGGGATCAAAAGAGCGTGGTGCGACCTGGAACGATGCTGAGGCCGAGGCTCTCATTGAAATCTGGGGGGAGGATGCTAAGCAGGCACAAAAGGTCCTGAATGCCGCCATTTTTGTTTGCGTAATTCCCACCTTTAGAGCTGCAATATCGTGGACCACCGATAGGAGTATAGGATAGGTCTAAATGGTCATAATCATAATCAGAATAAGAAATACTTTAATAATCCCAGAGGGAAATTACTTTTGTTACACGCTCCAGTTACAGTTTTATATATACACACATCCAACTACACAAGATAAGAATATATACACATATAACTCTTCCATATATCTATATATATGCATATGTAACAACCAAGCTTGGCATGGTTAGCGAAACTCAGCAGAGATCAGTTTGAGAGGAGTAGTGTAAATGGAGGAAACCTTTTACCCTTAGTCCTTGCCATCAAACATTACACCAAACTGTACTGAATTGAACACAGAAACAAACAACCATTCACACACACCTAATGACAATTTAGAGAAGCCAATTAGGCAGTCGTGTTTTTGGAAGTCAGAGTACCCAGAGAGAACCCACACATGCTCAGGGAGAACATGCAAAGTCCATGAAGAAAGACCGTGGGCCGGGAATCGAACCCAGAACCTTATTGCTGCAAGGCAGCAGTGCTACCCACTGCACCACAGAGCAGTATACAACTTGCTAAATCAGTGACTGACATATACATGTTTGCCGCACTCTGTTTAGGAGAAATGTAAGAGAGAATTTGCTTCATTTCGGGATAATTCAAATGTCAGAATCTGACCTTCATCAGCATACATCAAAACCTAGATATACCTTACTTCTAAAACATGACAGCATTTCAGGTTGTAAGAAAAAAAAATCATTTCCAACATGTCACACTTGACACTGGACTTATTAGTTCATTTATCAGATAGAATATTTCATGTCTAAAACGTAAGTCCACCATGAGCTGTTTCAATAATTCAGCAGCACATATAGTTTCTGTGTCTCTTATCCTTTCACAGTCAAAACCATTTGGATTTGTGAAAAGGGTGTGCAGATATGGGTGACGTTCCTACATAAATGTGATTGAGCAAGTTTTATACAATCAATATAGTAATATCTTCTGAAACAGACAGAGGTTTAAATAGATCTGTGTTTATTGTTTTCTGTGTTTAGTTTCTACTTTGTCTCCTGAGTTCCCCGGAAATTTGATTGCCTCATTTCAGCAACACAGAAAAAAAAAAGAATAATAATAGAAAAACACTAGGATGTTTAATGCCTTAAAATCTATCAGTGCAGAATTGTCGTACAACTTAAACAATAAAAGGATTGTTATCAAGTTGCTTCTTTTATTTAGGAAGAAAATGGAAAAAAAAATAATCTAAAATTGTTAAATGAAACTAAATATTGAGCACCAACTATGTAATTGAATAGAAAATAAAGCGATGATGCTGAAATTGACTACAAAAAGAAAAAGTAACATATAAAAAAATCAGATTAAAAAAGAACAATAAGGTTAGAAAATCAAACAAATATGCATTTTAGATTAGTAGATGTGATAATATGGATGTAGAAAAGTAAATATTGTTTCAATTAGAACATCTAGACATTGTCCTCTAAAGTGGCACTTCTGTCATGCAAATATAAAAAAAAAACTTCAGTTTTTCTATTAATACTGTGTAATTTTTCCTTTCTAAGTGAAAAAGTGAGACTTAATTCTGTTTTGTTAAAAACTATACTAAAATGATTGCGCTCATGTGAGAAGCGGCTATGTCTATCAGTGGTGAGAAGTCGAAGGAAAAAGCTCAACCAGAAAAAAAAAAAAAAAGAAACAGAAAGTTGTGCACGCAACCAGAGTCAATAAAGATTATTGAATTCAAAGATGGCGGCGCCCATGGAGCTGTCATGTTTCTGGTAAAACGGTCATTAATGTAGGTTTTAAATGAAAAATGTGACATTTTGGACGTTTGCTGGTATATTACCGGTATTAGTATTGCAGAGACGCAAAAGACTCTGAAACACGAAGGTAAGTGGTCTAAGTAGTAAATTGTATAATTATTTTACTAAGCTTCGGTTCTCTCTATTTGTTATATACATAAAAAAACATTTGACAGATAGAATGAAAAAAACAGAGAAGACATATCTGTTAATGTAGCAACAATATTGAAATGGAGTGGATTAGCTTTGTTTAAGGGATAAACGGGGGAGCAAACGCTCTGCTATGTGAACAAACTCAGAATAATATCTTTGATGTTCAGAATAAAACAATATTTTAGACTTTGTTTGCAGCAGTGCATATTACACAATTTACAAGCACCTCAGGCTCAGAGTTTGCACACATAATAATGCAGCTAGAGTCATTGTTGCCTGATAGAAAACGGTAATGTTCCAGAGAAGCATTATGATTAAAAAGTGACTGGCAGAAGGACCAAATCCTTTGTTATCAGGAAACTCATGTCAGTAACCAGATGTAAAATCACAGTGAAGCATCTACCATAAACAGTACATTTATTTTATATTTGATTTTTTAATTTTATTTAGTTTCTCTTTACTTCGGGTCTATATGAAAAACAAAAACTGTAGTAATCTGTCATTCAAGGAAATTATTTTTGGCTCTTTGAATCATCAGTCAATTCTGTTGAGCAGACAAACAATCTTTGTAGTAAAAAACACCTTCCTACTAATCTGTCTGTTGAAATTATAAGTCCAGTTCTCATTCTCTTCAGGTGTAAATCCTAATCTTTGGTCTTTTCTGTAAAACTGTTGACTATTTTTAATCTAAGCCAACATGTTCAGAAAATAAAGCACATGCATATTCAACAGAGGTAACAGTAAAAACAGGAGAATTAAAATAAAACTAAGATTTTGATGTAGTTTAAAAGCCAAACAAAATGAAGAATAACTCTTAAATGTGCTTTAAAACAAACAGGGAGTCTGTGGCAAGGGAATAAAATGGAATATGAACAACAGTATAGCTTTGTTGAGTTTGCCAAGAAGGGATCAAATAAATATATAGTGTTTTGCTGATATTTTAATTTCTCTGTTCGATTTATAAAGTTAAACTATAGAGATATACATCCCGGATACAAAATTATATGTTTGACCAGTTTGATTTTCTTATAGTTTAAGAAAAAACAAATCCTTTGTTGTATCACCAGCTATAATTAATTGCGTCGGTCCCAAAACTTGCACTTCTGGATGTTTCTATGACTTTACCTGTGATCAAAGTGACCAAATGTTCATTTTCTTGCTGTTTTCTTTAATTTTTTTAATATGTGAGCTTTACTCAATTGAAATGTAGCAGAAATTTGCCAAAGAAATAAGCAGATTGGTTAAAAAAATACACATTATGTACTAGATTATTTTTATTGTTAAAATCTCAAACAAAAACAAATTATCATCTCTTCAGGCAAATATAAAAATATCTATATTTCTGACAATGATCAGGTATTAATTAAATTAAAAACCTTGAACAAGTAGGTTCACACAAAGCAGAGTCTTTTTGTGTTTGCTAAACTGTGATGTTTTATCCAATGGGATCATGTGCATGTCATCTTTCAGATAAGAGGGTCTTTTTGCCACTAAAAATTGCATTATAGTTGCAAGTTCAGCAAACAGCCAAATAGGCCTGGGCAATAAAACTGTTACAGTATATATGATAGACAACTGATCGATACCTAACTGACCTCTTTTTAAAGGTAACGATAAAATAGAGTTATGATTACAATTTAGATACAGGATTTTTTTCCCCATGGTCTTTATTTCACATATGTAAAAAAATAAACTAAATTTTATTGATATCTGATGATATTAAAGGCTTATGTCAGATATATTTTTCAGGGGTTTTGTTAACAGAAGTTTTGAGTCCCTCCTCTCTGGAGACTCCCGAATGGATGTGCCCAGTCACCATAGAAACATCATCTCCATCTCTCGCCCCTGCCCACTCACTCAGAGTTGTGCCTTGCTTCGATTGCTCGGCTCTCCCAGCTGCAGTTGGTGGCTGTTTTCTGCGATGCTGAGCTAATACTCCAGGGAGATTTGGTGGGAGGAGAAAAAAAAACTCATCCCTACAAGCAGGTGTTTGGAGGGTACTTTTTATGCCCCTGTGGTTGAAAATGCTGAGAGTTAACCTCAGGAGAATTATCCTCCCTTCAGGCTGGTCAGATTCCATTTATATAACAACAAGGCTTATGCGTCTGGGTTGTCTGAAAATTAATCTCTCTAAAAGGAAGTTTAACTCTTATCGTTTATTGTAGTAATATATTCCCTTAGATGAACAGAATCAGCTTTTCTTCCCCAGCTTCAGATAAACCAGTTAGTCATTATTTATGTACCTTATTTGCATCTTTATCTCAGCCTGTTGTCAGACACTGCAGCTCTAAAGGTCTTGCCGTCTGAGATCCAGATGCGTCTCTACTGTGAGATTATTCTCTATACAGGTCAGGCTAGCAGTCCCTCTCAAGTCCATTGGTGAAGGAGGAGTCTATGGGAATCATGGGTTGCCCTAGTAACCGTGTTTATGTACCACTCTGACTTATTGTGGGCAATGCATTTGGAACTTGCACCTGACTTTCCGACCCACATGTTGTCATTTTATACTTAGCCTAAAGTTTATTTAAAAAAAAAAAAAAAAGGACAGATTTTGGTAACCTAAAAAAAATTTGTCGAAAAAAAGGAAAAATTTAACACCTTTTTAGATCTTTAAGGGGACCTATCTTATGTACAATTCAATTTAAAGTAAAGCTTTTAAGGAGACATTATGTCATTTTTTACTGAGAAATATCTTTAAAATAGGCTTTTTATTTTACCCTTCATGACTAAAACATTGTTTGATGAGCAGACTGACAGCAAAGTAGTTCAGCGGCGATGTATAAGCCAATTTTCCTTGATTTACTTCTGGTCTGAAGTTCGGTGGATGTAATGTGAAGCACATCTACACTAAAAAAAATAATGCAACCACTTTTTTGCGTTTACTTTATCATATTCAGTTACTTTAACATAAGTGTTTTATGTGCCACCCCTCTAACATGAACATTTTGGACCCTTTTAACATGTAACATGTTAAAACGGTCCGACCTAGCTAACAATCCAATGTTACATTTCAAGATGGATTTTCTGGATATTGAGAAGTAGCTGACATCCTGCTCAATTCAGACACCAATTCTGAAAAAAGTAATAAAAAAAAAAGTCCTTTTCAACAACAAGAATGAGCAGAATAGTGCTGCAGTTCAGGGTTTTGGCCACAGGTGGCAGTATCCTTACAAAACTCCTTAATGCCTCTTTAAGGGGAAGATGGAATAACCTGGCTGAATAGATATATGATATAGATATTTTTTTATTACTTTGATTCGGTTTTAGGAAATACCTAACTGTATGTACCTTCTTGCTCTGAGTTGAAAACTTTCTCTTTCTTTGCACCTGCTCTGAATTATTTATTGCATGCTGCTGTTTAGATTGTGCTTATTTTATTGTGGGTGTTTTTGACACCAAGCAACGGTTTTGCACAATTTTACACTGTATTTCATCACTCACCATACACTGTATGAATGCTCCAAATGAAATGGCATTGTGCCTGTCATGATGACAAAATAAAATATTGATTGATATAGTGATTCAGTGTTCTTTGATGGAGGTCCAGTCAGTGTGCCACATTCTGACTCTGGTTGGCAAACGTTTGTTTAATCTGCCAGACTTTAAAGAGATGTCTTGACCACAGCTCACCTCACAGATTTAGCAGTCTGATTTACTTTTCAATTATTGTTCATCCAAAACTTTCAGACCTGTCTGTTAAGGTTCCCTGTTAAAACCTGAGCAATCGCTGATAATGATCAACAGACGAATGTGTTCCAACCAACAAGAACTGGCATTATTCTTTATTAAAGCTTAGTAATACTAAAGAGGGCTGAAACAATTAATCAGATTAATTGTGATCCATCAATTATCGAAATAACCGTCAACTAATTTTCTAATAGATTGATCGTTGACTGGAGTATAGAGACTCTAAAACATGCCTTTAGCTGTCAGAGAAACCCACTTAGTGCAGTAATTATACAAAGATTGTAAAATACTATATATATAAATATTTTGCATTTAAGATAAACTCCTCAAGTTGAAAAGTTTTAGTTTAACCTGGTTTAACTTTTTTTTTAAATCTTCTCTAAGGAATGAAAGGATTGGCTATCCCATTATTAATCGATTAATTGATCCAGATCCAGATTATGTTTTTGCAACTAATCTGGTACATAAACATTATATCTTATTAAGGTCTGTGGTCTGGTACCACATGTGCTGATAAATGTCTCCCCCTACTGGTTTGGAGTACTTCCATCATACAGAGAACGTTTGCAGCTTTTATTATCCTGTAGGGTTTTTTGTGACTTGCAGCATTTTTCCTTTGAATGTGCTTTTTGGGTTAGCCTCACTTATGGTTTGCAGGTTTTGTGTTTCCAGCATGTTTGCTGCTCTCTCTTTTCTTTGATTACAGCATTTTTCTTTTACATTTGTTTTCTTTTTGTATAAATCAACCTCATTTTGGTCTTTACATTCCACCGTAGTTTATACATCACAAAACTTTAAATTTTAACTGGACAGTGTATACTTTTTGAATCTCATGTACAGCCTGTTTCATAATTGAGTCGAATGTAAAACTGTCATTCAGTCCTTGGAGCAGGCATGCGGGTTAGCAGGAACAGCATGTCCAGGGCTCCACAATGACGCAGAACCTTAATCGCATCACGGCGAATGAACCTCTCATTTCACAAAAAACTGAAAAAACCCACGCTGTTGTATGAGTGACATGGTGTGAAAACCGCCAACTGTTACACAACAACAGCAGTGGTGAAAAAAAACAATCCTGTGGAGGGCTGAGGAGGAGAGCTGTCACTCTTCTCCAAGCAGGAGGAAACCCATCATCTGCTCCTCAATCCTGTAGATGCAAACAATGTGGAGAGGCATTTGATTTGGGGGGAAGGAATTGCAGTTATTTTTATGTATTTGAGATTTTTTGTTTAATTTTTAAAGATTTTTCAACTTTTTCCTCCCTAAGATAAAAACTAGTGATGCACAAGTCTAAATTTTACTTTTCTTTTCAAAACCTAAAACAGTTATTGAGTGTGAATTTTGCTCTTAATTTAACACTAAACATACCAGAATTTAGCAATAAAATGGGATTATGAATAAAATGGGATTACAACAGTGTTCACGTTAATGGAGCTTTATCTGATAACAAACAGATAAAACAGACATCATCAAAGACCATGTTTGCTAAATAGTTTACTTAGCAAGAAAAACTGTATGGTTTCATTTCCGATGCATTTAATGAAAAGAGGATTTTTTTTTGTTACTTGGACCAGACAGGGCAAATAAGGGGAACAATTTTGAAAGATGTGTACCTCATTAAAAAAGGACAACTGAGCTAGAAAAATATACTCTAATAACAGTTTTATTTTTTGTTTTTTTTGTGGAATAAAGAGCAACTTTATTTGTGTGTCTGGCGACCATTGCTATAAAAGTTGATTGTTTTTCAAACAGCTTCCATACGGTTCTGTGAAATTAAAACAAAATTTAGATATTCGCCTCACAGATTCTGCTCAGACTTTTTTTTATTTGCATTTGTTGCAGCAAAACACTATTTTCTGGTTTACAAATGCTCAAACATGTCCTTTGATGATTTAAAAAAATATTTTATTTTAATAAAATGATCAGATTATGGTAAGGGACACATTTGGGATGCTTAAATTTGGACAAGGTAACAATTTCTCTTTTTGTGGGATTGCCATTATTAGATGACTTGAAACATGCTTTTCTTTTTTTTTTTTTGAGTTATTAACCATTTGAAAAAAATTGTATTTGCAAATATAAAAGTTTTTCCTATGACCTGAAATAAATCCAAAAACTTGGATTGGCCATTAAATAAATTAAAGATTTGGTGCACCAAGATCTCAAGAGATACTGAAAAAAAGAGCCAGTTTGTTTTTCTGTGTTTTTTTCGGAGATTTTCCTTTTAAGCATGAGATATTGAATTTAAAACTTTAAATAAAAAAAATAAAAAACTTGATTCAAAAATGACTTTTCATTTTTATTAAATGGCATATTTGTACATATTTATGTAATAAATACATAAATCAGCGGTCCCCAACCTTTTTTGCACCACAGACTGCTACAGTATATGTCAGACCATATTTTCGCGGACCGGGGGGCAGGGTGGACCGTTTTTTACTTGATCGTATTCAAATCCACCCCCGATCAAGTAAAACGATACGACTGGCATAAAATCAAATCCAAACAGCATAAAAATAAAACAAGCCGGTCCCATCGAGGCGTAATCGGAGACAATGACACACGAAGTGTGCTCCTGATTTCCAGTCTGCTCTGTAGATTTGTTTTGGTCGCTGTAACCGCAGAAAATCCCGCTTCACAAAGATAGGATGTTATAGATAGGATGAGTCTTAACCTGTGTCAAGAGGCACAGATGCACCGACTATTGTAATTGGGAGAGAATACCGCAATTTTTTTTATATTTTTCAAAATAAAACATCACTCAGACTATGATCGTCGATAAATTGACCGACGCAGACCACTACCGGTCTGCGGCCCGGTGGTTGGGGACCGCTGACATAAATGGTCCGTTTGATGGGATATCTAATAGTGCAACTGTGTATTTCCTGATTATTATTTTTTTGGTATCTTTTCATTTTGTCCACTTTGGCCCTCCATACAGCTCTTGGTTCACCTTAAGTTGATGACATTGAACCTCATAAAGAAAACTTTTCACCAGCCTGTTTCTATTATTTGTTTCAACTGTCCCTGCAAGCTAGATTAATGTGGTGTTTGTGATTTCACAAACTCACAAGAATTTGTCTTGTACAGCTCCAGCTTAACCCATTTGAGTCCGATCCAAAATGGCTTGGCCAATCACATCGCAGTATTCTTGTTTAAGGTAGAGATGCACCAATCCAGTTTTTTTCCCGATCCAATCCAATAACAATACTGAGACTCAATATCTAATACTGATACGATTCAACTTTTGAATAAATGAACTAGGGCTGAAACAATTAATCAGATTAATCGTGATTAATCAATCATTGAAATAACTGTTAACTAATTCAGTAGTTGATTAATCGTTAAACGTTGTTCTGGTTTCTCATGACATCTGCTACTTTTTTTTGTTTGTTTCTGTGACTGTCTAAAACCAGTTTGGTTATGTGGGCATCAGACATTGCTTCATCCAGTCAGGCTCTGTTCCTTTCCCTGAACAAACTTGATGAGAGCGGTCCCAGATTAATAATGTGTAAAACTAAACCTAAGTGCTACACAACAATATGCCAGATTACTGATGAATTGTGTTTTCAATTGGGAATATATAATTAAGCTGTATTGAATTCTCAAAATCATTTCTTTTTAGCAGCAATACATATATTGTAAATATATCATTAAAAACTATGTTGGTGTTAACTTTATTCATTCATGATGAAGTTTGACTCAATTACATTAAAGCTCCTAATATTATATCAATTAAACATGCTAATTAGAGCTATACAGCCTTGTTGTTTTCTCTAATGCATTTTAAATTCTGTGCAATTTTTCTGTTTATCATGAGTTTGAACCTTTTTCCTGAGCATCACCCGTATATGTGAGTAGTTTATTTAACGCACACATGCGTATCAGGATTATACAGGCAAGCCAAATCTCACATGTCCACCAGCTCACCTATGTTCTATGTCGCACCTTTCCTGATTTTGTTAAATTTATTTTTCCTGCAGACAGGATCATGCAGGCGTCCGTGAGGAGGCTATCTCTTGTCTCCCTGAGTGCTGTCCAGACTTGTCAAAACAGCACGACTCTGTTGAGTTCGGCGCTCCGCTTCCTTCCCCCCAGCATCCGCACCATCTTCAGTGAGACCGGAGTTTGGGACAAAGATTATCGAACTGAGAACAGACGGAGGGTAGAGGAATGGTGGCACCCGCGGATTATGAAGCAGTGGCAGAAGGATGCGCTGGATACAGTAAGCATGTTTATTAAAAACACAAAAAACACCGCCTAAAATTATGGTTACTCCTTGGTTTGTTTTCATACTCCTTAAGTATGTTTTTTTTTTTTTATAGTTTGTCAATTCGTAACCATAAACAATATTGGTATTTTGTTGGTGTTGTGACCAACACAAAGTGAAGGAAAAATTGCACTATTCAGGTTTTTTTAAAAATCTAACAAGCACAGACATTTGAATTGAGAAAGCTTCCTGGAGAGGTGGAGAAACGTCTTCAAATCTTGGAAACCAAGTTCAGTGGATATTTTTTGAATTTTTACAGAAAAAAGCACAGAAGGCTTTTGTACTTGCTTCTCTTTACTCTTATTGAAAAAAGTGCAAATATTCTGAAGACTCCTTAATCAGCATAATTCACCTGTTCTGTGAAGGCCTCAAAGCCTGGATCAGAGTTGGAGTCAAGAGGTTTAAGATCACTCTGGAGGAGCTATAGAGATTAACAGCGTTATAGGCAGGAAAACTTTATCCAGGAAACGTGGACGAATGTTAGACTACAGTATATTCAAGTTTTTACCGTCTGCATACAAAAAAAAAAAAACAGTACAGGGAAACTATTAATCCCCATGTTGGAACATAAATGGGCAGCATCCTGCTGTCATGCTTTTCTCCAGCAGGGAACCTGGCCAGAGTCGATGGAAGGATGGATGGAGCTGCGTGCAGGACGATTGTTACATGAAAACTTGGAACAGACATCAGACAGATAGGGACATCTGGACTCTAAAAATAAAGCTAGAACTGCACTACAGTGGCAAAAATCTAAGCAGATTAATTTGCTAAAATGTCCTAGTCAAAGTTCAAACCTAAATGTAAATAAGAGTTTGTGTGTATACTTTAGTATGGCTGTTCATGAAGGGGCCAATCAGAAAGAGTGTCAGATATTTTATGAAGAGTTGACATAGATTTCAGTCTCCAGCTATAGTTGAAGCAAATGTGGGTTTTTTTTGGCTGAATATACATGGAAACTCTACATGTTTTAGAGCTTGCTAATAAAAAAAAGAAGCTTTGTTTTGGTCCGTTGTATTAAACCCAAAGAAATATATTAAAGCCTGTAGCTATTATGTGACAACATTTTACAAAGTGTTGCCACTTATTCAGTGCAATCTGCATGTTTCCAAAAGCCTGAAGGAAAATAAACTCATTTCTAGAGCTCAGGGTTAGGACTTTTGTAGGTTTATTGTCTTCCAGTACAACAAATTTAACAAACCCAAACAGGAACAACCCTTCACTAACAATATTTAGCCTGTTAAGAGATGTAGTATCATCTGGTTAGGGGAAATGACAAGTACAAAAATTTTTTTTAGCTTATGCATCTTGCTTAAAGGAGAAGTTCGGTTTTTTACACTTTAAGCCCATTTTCTGTAGTGTCCAGGATGAAATCGAATGAAGGACACCAAAATTTTGACAATTGCTCCTGTCTCTGCTTTTTGGCTCATGCAGAATCACCCCCTGGCTGCTTTAGAATGGCTAGCATAGAGCATGTCCGATAATGTCCTTAAAACAACCTTAAACGTTCTTTTTTTAAAATATGCTACTCACCGGGTCGTCAGCGCTGTTCAATGACGTTCCAAAAAAAGTTTTGTGAAGAAAAAACGTTCCTGTAGTGTTTTATTTAGCATTTTGTAAATCCCATTGAGTTCTGTAGGAATAGTCAATATTCCGCTGCCACCGGAAACGGAAATGGGGCCTGTTTACACAGTTGTAGTCTTTTCGCTTCACTCTGTGTACTCCGACGTCGAGAATCAAGAATCCACCTTTCGTATTCCATTTTCAGAGTTTTTTAAAGTGTTTAACAGAGACGTTAGCACCTCGACGTCGGAGTACACAGAGTGAAGCGAAAAGACTACAACTGTGTAAACAGGCCCCATTTCCGTTTCCGGTGGCAGCGGAATATTGTCTATTCCTACAGAACTCAATGGGATTTACAAAATGCTAAATAAAACACTACAGGAACGTTTTTTCTTCACGAAACTTTTTTTGGAACGTCATTGAACAGCGCTGACGACACGGTGAGTAGCATATTTAAAAAAAAGAACGTTTAAGGTTGTTTTAAGGACATTATCGGACATGCTCTATGCTAGCCATTCTAAAGCAGCCAGGGGTTGATTCTAAATGAGCCAAAAAGCAGAGACAGGAGCAATTGTCAAAATTTTGGTGTCCTTCATTCAATTTCATCCTGGACACTACAGAAAATGGGCTTAAAGTGTAAAAAACCGAACTTCTCCTTTAAGATACATTTTGTAGAAGAAAAAAGAAGTCAACATTTTTTTAGCATGTTTCCAAATTGAAGCAAGAAAACATTTGATTTTCTTAACATTTCCTACAGATAAAACTGTCATATCTTCACCTGTATACCTCTGTAATCCTACTTTTAACAAAGACATCAGTGGAATTGGTGGAATAATATTTATTCCCTTGGAAAAAGCGATGAACAGCCCTAGTATAAGAGGCTTTTATTGAGAATCAAAATCATCCTCATTATGGTTATCATCATCATTTATTGTCCCAAATAGGATCATTAGTTACCATCGTCTGCACACATGACAGCATAATGCTAATAAGATTTGTGGCCTCTTTTTATCGTCCTATTTATAAATAACAATTTTAACTAGATTCAGCTGCAAAGCTTTATTTTCAAATTAAAACTTAATGACAAACAGTTGTCTTATTTAAGGGTAAAAATACTGGCTTTTTATTCAAATTCAAATCATTTTAAGGTCTTAGTAGGGCTGGATGATGCAAGCAAAACTTATATCATGTACTATTTCCTAATTTCTGTTGATACCACATATTCATATTTACAAAATAAAAGCCTTAGAAAAACTGCCAAGAAAGCCCATCAAATTCCAAACAATAATTGGCATGTATAAAAAAAACTATTTTACCATGTTTGTAAAACTAATCCATTAAAATATTTTAGAAGTTTTTGCTTAAAAAAAAAAAAAAACAAACAGAAAAAAACAGCAACATAAAACTATAGAAAACCCAAGACGTCAGTCAGTAGCTAAAACTGTAATCATAGACTGCTATGTATATTGAAATAGTAGAAATATGTTGAAAAGCATATCGTCATTATTTGATTAAATTATATTGCGGATGAAATGAAACTGCATTAATGTCCAAGCCTAGTCTTTAAACGATAAACCTTGACTACAAAAAAAATCATCTCCTCCCGAGCTTTGGACAGAAAACTTTATTTTAAAGTAGCACAATCTTAATTTTTCCAGCCTTTTGTTTTGAAACTCTTGTGCTTTGGATCTATTTGTGAAATTTTATTTGTCACAGATTCTGTAGATTTTAGGTTGACTTTCTGTCTGGAACCAAGTTTGCAAAAAATGAAGGGACACTTAAAAAAAATTATTTGAGCATTTGAAAGATGATCCAAGCAAATATTACCAAGTCAACATCTGTTATATGCTAATAGATCTTTTTACTAAAGTGGAACAAAGTCTTTCATTGAATCCAAAAGTGCTCCAATAATGTTTAGTCTCTTTACTTTTAATACGTTTCCTTCCCTGAATTGTACATTTAAGGTGGAATAAGAGTTTATGAAGACTAAAGTATTAAAGGTGTGTAAACTTTTTAAAACCACTATAAACATTTTTTAGATGTAGTGAACCCAGGTGGTTGCCTTTAAAGTGACCTTCTTTTTAGTGACTATAAAAGATGGCTGTCAAATGGTTCATAAAGCGAACTTCAATGGATCAATAGAGCGTTTTCATACGGTTGTCATTTTGGCCAGGGGAGAAGAAAGGTGAAGATATACTCCACAGTATGAAACTCGTGTCTCGCTGATACTGCCTCACAGGCTTTCTGAGGCGTTTAATAGAGTCGAGCCACAGTTAATAAACATTGTTTCTCCCTTTTTTTTTGTTAAATCAAACATATTTTGAAAATAAAAAAGGGTGTATCTCTGAGGAGTTTCTGTTCATATCTGAAGCACCTTGATATGTTTTCTATTGTCTGATGACCAAGTTTGATTTCTTTCCCCTAATCTCGTACAGGCTCTTGGGTCCTTGCAGCTCATCTCAGCCCCGTAGCTCCAGCTGATTATGTATCCTAATGCTCTGACCGTGTGGCTGTCTTGGCAAAGCTGGCAGTGATTAAGTGCATTTATGACGGGGCGCTGGCTCTAATTAATTTATTGAAAAATTCATGAGTCAGGTTTCCTGTAATCACATATAGCTGGATGGAAGTGGTCCTTGCCGTGCTGCCATAGAAACCGTGTTGTGATTGTAAAGCATCCATTATCTGCCACCGTTTAGATGCTATAATCAGCCGCTGTGCGAGCCTCATACAGTAGTACAGTCAGCAGCTCTCGCTCTGAATGTGTTGAGTTATTACTGCTGTCCTGACCTCATCCACTTAACGCCGTCTCCTCCACTCACGGCTCCCTCAAAGCCAGGCTGACGAGGAAAGAGAAACTTTGAAGCCTGTTACTATTATGGCTCATGTTTTTATGTTTTTCTTTTTTGTCCCCAGGATTCCAACAGGAAGAAATTTTATGTCCTCTCTATGTTTCCGTACCCATCAGGGCGCTTGCACATGGGTCATGTGCGGGTGTACACCATCAGCGACACCATTGGTCACTTCCAGAGAATGAGAGGCCATCAGGTATGTATGCTTTCTGCCCACACATATTTGCTATTATTACTCCATCATCCCTAAAACATGTAAGGCACTCTGAGCATCCAGAGCTGAATGCCATTCAGGGGTATCTCATGTTGTCGGGGTAAAAATATTCTTCCTGTGTCACACGAAGAACCGAGAGCCAATGGATTCCTAAAGCTTAGATCTAGGAAAGTATTTTGATCATGTCACTAATTAAACTAATTTAAGAGGAAAATTGTTATTTGCACAATAGAGGTAAATAAGATATTGATTTTACAAGTTTTAAGGTTTCTTAACACTTTTATTTTTAGTTTGTACTATGAAATAATATAATGAGCTGTTTGCATTTGAAATCTTATGTTTACATATATTTAATTACGGTAAAAGAAACAGTATCCTTTTCTCCAATCCTCTAAGTTTTTTTTTCTTTTTTATATACATCAGAAATAACAGCAATATTTTTTTTAATATATAAGCAATGTGGTATTTTCTTTTATTAGTTTTTAGTAAAACTATTTGTTCAGTTCTATGACTTAAAGTGTTGTGGCAGAGTTAGGTTAGGAGTACCTCACGCTCTCATCTTTTCAGGTCTGCCCTCTGATTTTTGGATTCAAACCATAACGCTGTGATGACCACTTTGCTGAAATAAAGCTACTTTGTATCTATTTAAGCTTTGTACTTGGGTAATTATAGTTTGAAGAACCTTTTAGTGAGCGAGCTCTTATTTGATGTCTTAAAGTTATAGTGGAGGATTTCCGTGAATTTTTGAAAACAACACCCTCTCCACTATTTATATATATATAAAAAAATGGCACATGCACAACCCTGTACCTGCTCCCGAAAGGGAACGCCTATTACGGTAAATGCGTGCAAGAGCGTGCACGAGCCCCTTTCTCCTTGTGCATGCTCTGTTTAAAAGATCGCTCATCTCATCGATCATACAAGCTTACTTTCCAAAAGAAGATTTGCAATTTTTCACTATGTCAGACTCACTACCAGTAAGTGAAAATGGGGACGAGTACATAGAACGGCCTTATGTAAACATATCACCAGAATGATTGACAATTAGCAGGAACACTTATTTTGATTGTCCTCCCGGAAAAAGAACATCCCCCACTAGACCTTTAATGCGTCACTTCAATATTTCCAAATAATGTTGCCATCTAACTATTGTGATGCAAAATGCTGCCTTGTGTTCTTAGACTTATAACCATGAAACTGGTTATAAGTCACGCCTATGAAACAAAAAGACCAAAAATACTTCATACATGATGAATTATGGCATTAAACACCAAGCATCTCTCCTTTATGTATAGATCAACTTTTCTTTTAGCCTAAATATAATTCCAGGCATGATGAGCAAACATAAACAGGTGTTCGCCATCTGCAGGCAGAGCAGCAGAACTATCAGAAAGCCAGATGCGATAATTGAGGCAGTTTTTTGATAGAGCCGAACCGTCCTCAAATGCCTCATGGTAAAGTGACAGCTTGATGTATTTGAGGATCAACCCGATCTACAGCAGCTCCAAATGAATCCTCCTCCTATCAGAACATCAAGGATATTGGAAATTCCCTTTCTTACCAAACTCAATTGTGGAAAAAGTATGAGGTAAGGATGTAAGAACATGTACTCACACATCAATCAACTGCGTAGCATCATCTGAATGCCTCCACAGCTTTAGCTCCTGTTGTTTATGCCTCATCCGGACGCTACTCGAGGCTGATCCTCTATTTTTGGGCATTTTTACACTCGATCTTAACCTTTTTTTTTTTTTTTACAGTTTGGTTATTCCCTCCACTAACTAAATAAAATTATATCAAGGGCTTAGATTTTAAATGTTATACTCCTGCAACTTTTGGAAGATTTTTCTACCCCTGATGTCTGTAATATTTCCTCATTAAACTGTTAAAATCGCCTTGCAGTCAGATGTCTGGCACATAAGTCAAAGCAGCAAAGCTAAAAAGCAGAACAGGCTGGAACCCAAAAGTCTGTTGTCTATTGCTGCCTTTCTGCTGAAGGTAAAATATTTTAATAATGTTGCTTCTGCAAACCTACAGACTCTTATATCAGAGCAATTATGTTATATTGTTACTGTATGTCAAGTTTTTATTGACTATTCTTTACAAAAAGCAGATTAAAGCTCTGATTACTGTTATTTGGATTTTTACAAAATTCTGTGAAAAGAACTGTGATGTAAGACAAACAAATCAATCAGCAAAGAGAAAAATCTCAAAACTAATGTTTGAGTCTTTTAATGACTTCTTGTGTCCTATTGGCTCATCAGCCCTGAATAGACCTTTGATGGGATCAGTGAGGCCGGGGCAGCTCTTACATCTGCTCAGTGAAAAAAAGCAAGAGCAAGTGAGTGACTCAGTAAGAGACAATTAACAGCTATTAGGATTTTTTTTTTTGTGCTGTTTTATTCATTCTAACAATATATAAGTTACAGAGCAGGTTTTGCAAAGGCTATTAAAGAAGTTAGCCTGATATCCTGATTTCAAACACATTCCATTATAAGAATGTAAGGTCAGATTTATGTACAATTATGGAACAATTATGAACAATTTTAGTTTATTATATCTATTTTGTCTAAATTGATGAAATGATCAGTTGTCTTCCCCCCCGAGTCCTGGTCAGAGCTTTTATGGACAGGATGCAGCCAAAGACAGAAGGGGTCTGGTTTCACTACATGCTGGGGCTGTTTGCATCATACATTGTGGCCAGGAAGAAGAAGAATGAGACGTAGATACAAGCGACTAAAATGAGCTTTCCCTCCAGTTGGCAGGGCTCCCCCGTACAGATAGGGTGAGGAGTTTGGCCATCCATGACAGTCCAGGAGGGGAGTGATGGCCTAGTAATAAGAGCAGTGCACTTGTGCTCTGAGAAGATTGCAAGTGCCCGGTTCAACGCCCACAGCCTGCCCTCTGGGTCCCTGAGCAATACCCCTAACCCCCCCCTGCTCCCCGGGCGCCGCACAGTGGCAGCCCACTGCTCCCCAAGGGGATGGGTTAAATGCAGAGGGAAACCTCTCCAGTGTGAGATCAGTAAAGGTCAAAGGAGTCAAATGAAATGGCTTGGCCATCTGTTAAGATCCCCCTTTGATTGCTTCACTCTTGAGGTGTTCAAGGCATGTCTCACTGGGATGAGGACCAGGACACGATGGAGAGACCATGGCTCTCAGCAGTCCTATTCAAAGTCCGATACATAGAATATAGCAGTGTATTGAGGTTCTTAGGAAAGCACACACAGACTCCCTGTTTTTTTTATATCCTGCGCATGCATAAACACATAGCTCTACATAGTCTATAATGTTTCAGCATTTTTATCCACCTAGTTATTTATATATTATTGTAAAAGTCTAGTTCTGGCTAGGTTTGTTTACTATTGCTTGCATCAAATACAGTGCTTTGTTGTTTTTTGGTATTTTTTATTTTTCTTTTTGTGCATATTTCTTTATTCTTTTTCGTTTTGTCCAAACTTGTATGTTTCAAAGCAATGGCATACTAATGTCAGACAATTGATACCTTAGTTTATACAAAATGCACATTTTATTTCATGATTTCCCTTACTGAGGGATAAAAGCTTTTCAAACATAATTAAACCACTAGCTGTGATTAAATGCATATATATATATATATATATATATATATATATATATATATATATATATGCATAATTTTTTTTTTCTTTTGTTTTAGTTTAACCTTTTAAAAATCTAATTTAGCAAGAAATTTGTCATTCTAAAAAGTAAATAATCTAATAGAATATGTCCTGCTGTATACAAGTAATATTAATACACATTCAATTACAAGTTCAGGTAAGATGTTATCTATTCTAATAATAATTCATGAATTTATGTTATTAATAAAGTTAATGTAAACCTGTAAACTGCCCAGGGACAAAAAGTTTGACGAGTCGATACGTCAGCTGTTAGATTTTTTTAGGAGTTATTGATAAATCTGGACATTTGTAGTTTAAAACGTAAAATATCTGATATATTCAAAAGCACTGTGGTCCTATCATAAATGTATTATATCATCTGCCTTAACAGTTAGTCAGTGGGCGGGGCTTTCACTGTAATGAACGAGGTGATTGGTCCTCGGTTTAGTTGCTGTGCAGGTTTAGCTTCCTGTTTGACGTGTAATAGTGAGAGTATTTCATGATGGATGGTAAGACAGGTGTTCTGAAATATTCATTATACATGATTTTAGCATAATTTTAACATTTCAAATATTAAAATGTGGGGATTTCTTCCCTCAATAGATGAATTAGAGGCTCAGTCTTTTTTCTACAGTCTCCTTAGATTATAGTTTTTTTTTTACATTTTTGGAGCTTTAATATGTTTTAATGCCTTTAATTTATATCATATATTCAAGATAAGAGTTTTCTTTTTAGCTGTGTTGTATATTAACGTAGTAGCTCTAGATGTAAGGATTGTTAAAGTGTTGAGATGTAAATATAGCTTCATGTATTTTTCTTTTTTCAGTAGCTGTGTAAGTTAGGGCGGATCCATACTCTTGATTTAAAGCCCTCCGGTGTCTGAATAACCGGACTGCTTTAGTTCAAAGTGCCTGAGTCTAGAGCTGCCTCGGCTCTCTGTTTGATTCCACTTAAAGACTGCACTCCAAGCTGCGGCCGGTGCTGTAAGGTCAGGATCTGTGGGCTGTTTTCCAGGAACACACTTTCTGCTCAGATCTTTGCGTATCCCAACAGTCATTTAGCCAGACTGCAGCGTGGTATGTGAAAAGCCTGCTCTGTGTTTTTTGCTCCTTTGAGATTTTACATCAAAAATGGATTTTCCTCATCGCCTGCTGAGAGAGCGTCCTTTTTCTTTGCTGGTATTCTCTGAAGGAAACTTGGTTTCACATGATTGCTACCTGTTCATTGTGCAGGACTCTTTTCTTTCCCAGAGCATCTGTCTAAAAGCAAACACTGTTCTACTATATGAACAAAACTCCCCCCATGTGATAATAGAGAAATACACTTTCACCTGATGATATTCTGCTGGGTTTGGGGATGCATTGTCAACCTGTTTCTGATGCTTTTTAATTCTGTTTCATTGTGCAATTATAAAGTCAATATTAAAGCGTATTTTATGCTGAACTTGATGTTTTTATAGAGTGGATTACGGTCTGTTCAGTTTTTAACTACGATTATTTTAAATAATCACATAATCAGCTTGACTGTTTCAGTCCTACAGCACAGTTAAATCCCTCTCCTACTTGTTCGGACGTAACAATAAGCAATAAAACAGTTCAAGGAGGAAACAAGAAAAAAAACGTACTATTATTTTAAGCTCTCGTCTGATCACATTTCTTAACCAATTAAATCTAACATTGTTGCTTTATGCTTATAATATGGTGGTTGTTATTGTTATAGGGGTTCGTCAGCACTTTTATTTTTCGTTATTAAATACGTTTTCCACAGATTTATTTATTTAAAGACTTATTTGGACAAAAAAATCTCTTGAGACTGAGTGTCTCATTTCTAAGAGTAAATGAGACACTCTTATAAAGTCTCCAGCACCCTGGTGTGCAAGTATGCAAACTTTAACTCACAAAACCTTAGCCAGTGTTTAAACACATAGAATGCAGTGTGATAATAGATTTGTGGTTGAGTTCTGGGGGGGATAATCTTAACTATTTGTTGTTCCGCATTCCAGTCTTTATGACCTCCTGACCTGATATCATGGTCGTTCTTACTTCTTGCTGCACATGCACGCTCCTACCCTTTCTGTATCCAGTGAGCTTTAGTTTTAGTGGTGAATCAGTGCTTAATATGGCATAGGGTAATGTCAGTGTCTTCTTTTGCTGTCTTCCAGAGCTGTGTACGTCTGCAAGCACGTTTGATAGATATTCTCCCTGACAAGCAGAACAGCTGATAGGATGGTCTCATGCATGTGCATTTATGAAAATGTGATTGCATTTCTTACCTACATTTCCAGTAAAAATAAAACATACATATACCTATACCTAATATTGCCTCTCTGCAAATCACAATACCAGTCTCCCAGCTCTTCTGACCTATGTATGGAAGAGAATTGGGGCCATAAAAAAAAACAGCCACTCATGAAAACATTTATTCTGACTGTAATCTAATAATTCTAACTTTTTTGTCTAGTAATCCTGACTTTATCCTCAGATTTATGACTAACTCTTCTTCTTAGAATTCTATTATTAATCTCACAATTAAAAGTAAGTGCACTTCAGTCAAGCAGGAATTAAAAAAGTAGTCATCATTTTATAGAATAATGTTGAGATTAAAGTCGGAATTCTCAGAATTTTTAGAATAAAGTCTGAGATTAAATTTAGAAAACAAAAGCTTTTAAAGTTTTATTGAGTGGCCATTTTCATTATTTTTTATGGGCCCTACTCTACTTTTCCATCCCCACTTTTGGTGCAGAGGGCTGTGAATATATAAAACATTATTTTTTTTGTTGGTACTACAGTGTTTCATATTCCAGTTTATCTGATTGTGACCAAATGAAAGGCCAGGATAGGTTTTTCTCTAAAATGTTATCAATTGAGATAGAAAACAAGTATAACAGCTTACAATAAAATAGTCACATAAACATGGCCTCTTTTCAAGTATATATGCATCAAAAGCACTTGTGTACCCATAATGTTACACGCATCATTTAGAGTGTTTATTTTTTAATTATCATAGTCTGTCCTTGGAATGTGCTCTGCTTGTATTACCCCAGAGCTCAGTGAGCCGATAGTCTCTCAGCCTTATACCATCCGACATTCGGCTTTACAAATGAGGCCCCTGCAGTTACCAAGGATACCAATTCATCTGAAACATCAGACCCGTTAGAGTCCGCGCAGTGATCCTCCAGCCTTCGACTCATTGTCACTCTCTTTCTCTTCCACTTTACCCGCTCCTTCCAGTCCTGTGCTTTCATCTCGTTTTTCTCTCAGGGAGCAGAAAATACAGCCGAGTAGCTCAAGAGATGACTGAAAGAGACTTTTTAAGTGTGTGTCAAAGAGCGAGACGAAAGCACAGAAGTGTAGACGGATCATTTATGGATAGGGAAAACATAGGGGAGATTTTTTGTTTTTTGGAAGATTTATTGAGGTATGTTGGCTATAACATTTTATGCAGCTTCTACTCAGCGATTGATCTTCCTTTTTTATCTGCTTTAGATTCAGGTTTCAATAAAACCTCGTTATTCCAGTGGTATTTTTAGACTGAAACATTGTTTTTTTTGTGAATTCTGAACAAAAAAAGACAAAATAGTGTAAAAAGGGTGCCCCGGTTGCAATCTGAATTTTAAAGCTTGAATTCATTGTTGATAAAAGTTTGATGGCAGTGTAAAGAAGGTTAAATGAATATGTTTACAAGATAAAATAATAAAAATATTTGTATGATTATATTAATCCTTCAGGAGAACAATATATCCATCCAGTCCCCCATGTGTTTTTCTATACACAACGGCCTTATCTAGAGCTTTATTAGGATGGCATAACTTGTTTAGACATTTTGTAGGCTGCTAAAAAGTGATTAGTGCAGAGTCTATCACTAGGCTAGCCTCTATCGAAAGCATGTCACTGCCTACAGTAACACACATCCGCTTGCCTCCACTCTTGAGGACTCAGACCACAGAAGCATCCTTAGGAGCTTCAATAAACTGGTTAATAATAAGTTTAGCACTACAGTCATTTGTCATTTAGATAAAGAGAAAAGAACCAAGTTCTTTGAAGAAAACCTAAACCCAGTTTGTTGCAGCATGAAGCCTCCCTGCCAACTTTAACTCTTGTTGTTCTGACTGGAGGTCTGAAAACCTCTTCCTAAGTAAACTGTTTAAAATGTGTTTTAGAATGAGGTGGTAGGCTGGCTTTGAATGTTTCCCATTGTTGCTTACATCATGATTTCTTACAAATGTCCAGATAAGAAGCCAGTGCTCATTGTTTTCAGAGCCTAACCAATGGAGAGATGGTCCAGAGTTCTTCATATCTGTAACAACATCCAGGGGAACATTTTGTTAAAGATATAAATACAGCCGGCAAATCAAATGACCAAGGTAAATAAATGAGCTTTATGTGAGTCTGGGTGTGATTGCTCCTTTCATTAATTTATAGGTGTTGAACCCAATGGGCTGGGATGCTTTTGGACTCCCTGCTGAGAATGCAGCCATAGAGAGAGGCCTTGATCCTGAGGAGTGGACCAAAAGGTGCTTATAGTAACAGCAAGACGTTTGATTGTTTCTTATTTGTTTGTAACTTCTTTCTCTGCTGCGTTCAGTAACATCCAGTCCATGAGGGAGCAGCTGGATAGCCTTGGGCTCTGCTTCAACTGGGACAGAGTAAGTAAGAGCTCAGAAACTCTCTGCCAGATTATTACAAAATGCCTTCATGTTTGTCTTTTAGTGTTTATGTCACATTTGCAAAGACACACAGAAAGAAATGATTGGCTGTAACGAAATAGAGGGAAATCCTTGAAAGAGAAAAAATGTTTAGAAAAAAATACTTAAACTTTTATCAATAAGACTATAAAAAAGAAAACCTTAAACCTGTAAAACTGTTGTAAGTGTTAAAAGCTACCAAATGCTCTATTGCAAGTTAGTCTGAGATTGAGACATTTTGCAAATATGAATGGGCAACATCTTCAGTCTTTTAGACTCCAAACCAGTAGAGACCCATCAATAAACAGCTTCTTAACTTACAGCAAAAAATATTCATTGTTACAGTTCAAGAGCTGCTGTATGCAAACACCTTTTACTTTCACCTCAAAGGTATGCAACACTTTATGTTGCACTATCTAGGTTTGTGGTTCTAATTTGACAAAATGTAAATTTAAAAAGTCCAGCTTGTGAATAGACTGTATTAAAAAAGTCCTAAGTAACCTGGGTGAAGTTTAGAATGTAAGAGCAAATTGTGTTTGTGTGGGCTTTGGTTTTCCGAATGGCAATAGATAACAAGCTTTTAAATAAATTAGCAAGTAAATAAATGATGATAGATGAATGAATATACAGACCTCTAGAATGAATAAATGACAAAAAAACATATTAGGGAACAGCTGCCTCTGATAGAGTAACATCTTATTACAGGCAAAATAAATTAACTGGATGCATCATGCTTTTTAAACTTGGGTAAACAAAAATAAAACCCAGTTGGCATAGGAAGCTGGAGGAATGCTGTGTATTAGGCAGGAATTTTATGACCCATAACAACCCAGAATGCATCAGTGATTAGAGGGTATATTGAAGTAACTCTCTGCACCTGATTTTGGTGTTCCCCAACAGGAAATAACCACATGTCTTCCAGACTACTACAAGTGGACACAGTATCTGTTCATTAAGCTTTTTGAGGCGGGACTGGCATATCAAAAAGAGGTAGGAATGTTTTCTTCATAGAGAGACGATGAAAGCAGTGGAGAAAAGTAATTTATTTTCAGTTATTTAGCTGAAAAGAGGTGGCCTCATTTCTTGTTTACTGTGTGGGTTTTGATCTGCACGTGTGTGCTGGTTTCTGTGCGGCATGTAGGCTGTGGTGAACTGGGACCCTGTTGATCAGACGGTGCTGGCCGACGAGCAAGTGGATGAAAATGGCCGATCCTGGAGGTCCGGCGCTCTGGTGGAGCAGAAGTTACTGACACAATGGTTCATCAAGACTACAAACTATGCTAAGGTTTGAGGCCTGTTAATACAATGTCTTGGTGTGTGTTAAAACGAGCGGTGAAGCCCTTTGATAACAATCATGGCTGACACCAAAGTGGTAGCAGCTGCTGCCTGCCTCCCTGCCTCTGTAATCAGACCCCTGGAGACCATCATCTGTAGTCTGGCCTCTGTGTTCAAAGGGGAAAATACAGGAGCAGACCTGAGGTTGGTCTGGCTGCCTGATGAAACCTTTCTGCACAGGGAGGAACAGGACTGCTGCAGGAAAAAAGAGTGATGTCCTCTGCACTGAAACGACCACAGGGTAGACTGGTTAATGCATTTGACAGGCAGCACATGCACGTACTGTGTTCGACGTTATGTAGGGCAACAGGAGTCACATCAGCTGCAATAAGCGTGATCCATCTGTTAACCCCTTACACCAACATTTGGTACACAGAAAGCAACACCTGTTTTTTTTGTTGAGAAGAAAAACAAAAAAGGTTCCATTTAATCAAACTGTTATTTAAGAATAAAGATCCAATCTTAAGTCAAACAAAGATGACTTCTTTTGAACCTTAAATTTTTTTTACAAAGATAAATTGATAGAATTTTGTAATAAAAACTTTTATAACTTTGGTTTAAGAAGTAAAATCCGAAGATTGTCCTTCCTAATGTTGAAAACTTGTTTTAATTTTCAAAGTTTCCTTTAAAGTTGTAAAATATATAAAAATAAAAAAAAATGTATATATATATATATATATATATAATTTTATTAAATTTTTTTTCTTTAATAACATCTTTGACATATTGAGAGAGAAGTTAACTATAGTTGAAAACACACCATAAATATTCAGCCTTAAAGGGCCATTCATACAATATGCTTCCAATATTCAGACTTTTCCACATTGAGATACTATCCATTTATTATATAATGTCACATAGTACTTTATTATATTTGTAGTTTTTTATTTTCTTTATTATATCATTATATTATTATATAATTTTTTTTATTATATTTTTTATTTTTATGTATAGAATATGAACTAGAAGAACAATGAAGAGCAATTCAGCTGCTCAATGCTTTGCAGAAACACCTTTCACTGTAGTTATGACTGGAGGTCTTTTGGGATGCGTCTCCTCCAGTTTATGTCTTTATTCTTCTTCTCTTCTTAAAATAGCAAAAGCTGAGTACGATTAAATGGAAAGAGTCATTTAACATTGCTTTTCAACTTTCGACAGATATTCTTAATTGAATTTAGGTCCGGATTTTGACCAAGCCATTCAAAAAATGAATTTCCAATAAATCCAATCCACTTTATTTCATTTGCACATTTAAAAACAAAAAATGTTTCCAATGTTCTGTACATGAAAACAAGTAAAAAACGCAACACACACAAAAAAGCAGTAAATTTTAAAAAAGGACACAGAGGACCACACAATTGTGCGGTGTTAAAAGCCAAAGGGTAAAACTGGGTCTTAACACGAGACTTAAAACACTCCACTGTGGAGGCTGTTCGTATATAGAGGGGCAAAGTATTCCAGTCTGGGGCCAAATATAGAAAAGGTTCTGTCCCCTCTGGTTTTAAGCCTCGTCTTAGGCACTATTAGCTGAAGATGGCTCTCAGACCTCAGAGCACGTGCTGTAGAGTAAATCTGGAGGAGGTCAGTAATGTAATGAGGACCCATCCCATTCAAAGCACTAAACACAAACAATAAAATCTTAAAATCAATTCTAAAATTGATCCAGTGCCGAAACGCAAGAATTGGTGTAATGTGTTGATGTTGTCTAGTCCCCGTTGACAGAAGAGCCGCTGCGTTTTGGACTAACTGCAGACGGGAGAGAGTTTGTTGGCGAATGCCTGGATAAAGGGCATTGCAAAAAATCCAGACGGCTAGAAATAAGAGTGTAAAACCTGCTCAAAGAGGTTAAAAGAAAAACGGTCTTAGCTTAGATAAAGACTGAGATGATAGAAAACACTATTTTAAAACACAGTTTATATGTTTGTTCAGTTTAAAGTCGCTCTCTATGGTGACACCAATTCTGGTTAGTTTGGAACGTACAAATATGTCTCTTTCTCTCTTTCCCATAGTCCAATCCAGTCTTAACAGCTTGCTGCTGAATAAAGCATTCGCACAGTATTATGCTGCCATTACCATGTTTCTCTGTGGGAATGGATGCAAAGTTTGCTCTAGTTTTTCATTATAAACATAAAATATTGTCAAACGGTCAACATTTAGGCCAAATAATTCAATTTTGGGCTCATCTATTAGCTCTCCCTATTCTAGCGAACAGTCATTGAGTGAATAAAATGGATTATTTAAATAGTCTAATTGGCTTTTTAATCGCTTTTATATGTTTTTTTTCCTAAAGACTAGACTTTCATTTAAAGTTGGTTTGGAATCCATTCATCATTTTACAAAAAAGATGAAAAAATTAAAAACTCTCAAGGGTCTATGAGTGCTTTTGCTGTGCACTGAAATCACTAAGGAATCAATTTGACTCCTTGTTGGTTTATTGCCCTCTAAGTTTTCCATGTTAGATGAATCTCCAGACAATTTGTCCACCATCAGTTTTCGGCGGCGTAGCTGAAGTCGACCGCGTGCGACCGTGTCAGAGGTGCGAGTGGAGGTGGAAGCAACCTACTGTGACAATGTGTTCCTGCATTTCTAATTTTCTCTGACGAGCAGAGACGTGGGAAGGAAGGAACAGGGAGGTGTTAAGGGAAAGAAGTGAGAAAGACAGATGGAGATGAAAGGAAGGAGCATGTCGAGCAGCAGCGTGCCAAATCACAAGTGATGTAATTGCACTGCGAGGTTTCCTGGGTGTGCGTTTCGTCTTGTCGGCCCTTCATGTGCTGGGGTCCGTTAGACAACATTAACCTCAGACAATGTTTACTCAGTTCAACTATCGAGTTGCTTCATGTTGCACAATGGATCGGTTAATGATAAAAAAATGATATGCATTTTGCAGAAGGCTAAATTATCCACTGGCTGCAGGAGAGTTTTTCAATTTCATGCATAATCACACTTTTTACAGGCAGACAAATCCTGGACAGAGAGAGAGAGGTTCTCTATTGTACAGTTCTCTAACAGTATTGGTTATTAAAGTTTCTGAAAATGCTTCATCATCTCAGTAAATTACCCACAAGCAACTTGTGCTACAATGTATGATCTTCCTCTCTGGACTCCTCTTTCTGTCCCTCCGAGAGACAGAGAGTTGTTTAGTTATTGCCATACCATGTTTTTCTGTCACGGTTTTCTTAGTTTCCATAGTAACGCCTGTCCTTGTCGTACATATTAAAGTTATTTGTGCTTCTGTGCCAAATCTGTATTTTTGAGTCCGGGAAAGTAAAAAGAGATTTTCCCCTCTCACTGGAAATCTTTTATTGTCTGTCAGGGCTGCTTTAGTTCATCGTCATTGCTGATCGTTTATCAAGTGACTACTGGAGTTTTCACTGATGTCTCACTGATGCTGCTGTTTATTTTTTGTTCTTTATAGTGCCTTAAAAACTATTAACTGCCCCTCAACTTAAAAAAATCACAAATAGCATTGACTTTAATTAGAAAAAATATTACTTTTTTATTTATTTTCTTTCTACTAATAGGATTCTGCAAAATGGGACAGATGAGAAATAGTTCCAAGCAAGGCCAGGTTATAAAGCAGTGTCCAATGCTTTCAAATTTTAACAGAGCAATTTTAACTCAGTTATTTGAACATAAAAAGAGTATTGCATTATGCTGTCACCTAAATAAAGTGACACTGGCAACTCTGGAGGAGCTGCAGGGATTATATGCTCAGGTTGGACAATCTGGCAAAGCATTCTGCACATTTTGCGTTTTTTGGGGAGCTGCACTTATTAAGATATTGTTTAGGTCACGGCATAGCAGCACCTGTGTACAGTTTGCCAAAAAGCTTGTTTGGAACAAAGCAAAGTTTATTGGCAGAGACCAAATTTGAATTTTACAAACTGCATCTGTATTTATCTCATTTAAAGTCTAATTAATTTCACTATACTGAAACAAAATTTCATGGTTTGAAAATTAAATAATTGCCTTTGAAAAAATGTTGTTTCATTACATAAAAAAATTCAGTTGATCTGTTTTAACTTTTTGTATTGTAATTTAATCCTAATTTAAAAATATCTTTTTTGTGAGCCATCAGGGTTCATGAGTGCGGCAGAAGTCATTACAAATGCCAGAGGAACAAATATAAGAAACTTAATTTAAAAATGATGGGCTAACCACAATAATTATGTTACCTGTAGCTATTAGCTAAAGATAATTAGCATATTGTGCCGCCAATGTCTCATCTACAGCGGTATCTGTTTGAGATGTTAAATATCTTGGTGAATGACGCCATGTTTACTCCACCTCTTTAGTTCAAAATGCTGTTAAAGAAGTTTAACTTGATTTTAAACATAGAGCAGGAAATCTGTGTTTGATTAACCTGTGGTTAAAGGAACCGTGTGTTTATGTAGAAAAATAAAGTTTAGAGCTAATATTGAGTCATGCAGCTGGAAGTAAAAATTTTGCTTGTTTTTTTTTTTAGCCAAATGCATCTTCAGAGGAAATTAATTCAGTTCCAAGCCCTTAAATTAATTTTCAATCCATATAAATTCATATGTAAACCAATGCTTTTAATTTTAAAGTACAGTATTAGAAATGGTAATGAATTTACTGATGACACATGTTTCTGCCCATAAAAGATGCACTGATTGATTTAGAGCAAAATTGAACCTTTCTACTTGTAAAGCCCCGTGCATTATGGAAACAAACTCACCATCCTCCTGGTCCTGTGGTGGTGCCAGCATCATGCTGTTGGTAAACTTGCTTAGATTTGATTGGAAAATGAATGGAGCTGCAAAACCAGGCTTCAAAACCTGCAACAAATTCTCATAAATGCTAGAAAATATAGCCAATGGAATGGTTTGAATCAAATTGCATTGATTTTTTTTTTTTATGGCCTAGTTAAAGTATGCAACAGAATCCAAATAAGAATGAAAGTAAAACGCGAGAACTGACCTTTGCAGATGCTTTTCCATCCAATCTGACTTCAGCTGTTTTGAAAGCAACAAGTGGAAAACAGTTGTTTATACCTGCCTCTACAAAGCAACTAGAGACAAACCCTAAAAATGAAGCTGTGAATCCATGTCTAAATATAAATGCATGCCACACTTTCAAGGCTTCACTATTGTTTGTTGGAACGTTACAAATCTGAACATGTCCAGTATACTGTAATATGGAGCAACCATGCCCGGTTCATTCTGCACTCATGCTAATTGAGGACCTCAGCCAGAGTTTATGTTTGTATCAAAAACTCTGAGATGAGGCAGCAAACACTGAGCAGCTCCAAGAGGGGGGTTGTGGATAATAGATTGTGACAGACTGAAAGGGAAATGGAGAATTATAACATCTCTCTCCACTGACCAGCTGCGGCTTTTTGGGCTGAGCCTCGTTCATATGCATAGCCCTTACTATGACTATAACTGTGTGTGGGGAAAACAAGGAGCTAAGCTCTCTGTTACGGGGGGAAGTCATGTTCATGTTCAGGGAAGTTCAGGCAGTAGAGATCAAATATTTTGAAAATAATGTTCTTCTTTTTAGCTTTTGTGACTTTGGTAGGCTTGAGTTGCCTTGTCCAAATTAATTGGCTCTGCTTTGAAAGAGGCCAAACTAAGCTGTTTTTCTGAGGATATCTTCTTGTGAGTTGGAACATTTGCTGCCTTCATACTTGTCAGAGGTATAAAACATATTCTGTGTCCCTATTGTTTTTCAGCCTCTTCTAGATGCCCTGGACGATGTTCCTGAGTGGTATGGGGTTAAAGCCATGCAGGCAAACTGGATCGGAGAATGCACTGGATGCTACTTTGATTTCACACTCAAGGTGAAACTCAGGTTATTTCTAAATCTCACCAAACTTTTACTTCTTTCTTCACACAAGTTTTTCCACATCACTAATTCTTTTTCTCATTCTGTATTCTGCTTCTTTCTTTCTCAGATTGATTGCCTACTTTAAAGCTTTGTTATTGGGCTTCTGTGTTTACTGATGTGTTTGATTAAAAATACATTCCAAAAGTCATCAAAATGATCGCTTTAGTATTTCACTCCTTTCAAGCGCCAAACACATCTGCAAGTGACATTTTTCTCAAACAGATATCTGTCTCAGATGATTTAGAAAGAACCTTTCTAAAAACCGTGTTTGCAGTTTTTCATAAGTCAGTAGTTTTGAGTTGAGTGGAAACAATAAGCCCGCTGAGAGCCCGCTGATTGTCAAAGCATGCTCCCTGGAAATGATTTACACACGTCTGTCTTATTATTTCAAAAGAGATGTAGAAAATTTTATAATTTGTGTTTTTATATCACTGTGTGTAAGAAGGATTTCTGTGATACAATGAATTCTTAACGCTGCATGATTAGACTGACTGGATGACTGCCTTATCCAGTTTCACATCAGCCCACACATAAACTCCATTGTGCAACAGCTCCCTAGAGAGCCAAGAAATATTTATTAGTAAGTCTTCAACTTGATATCTTCCAATAATCAATTAGTGCTTATGTAATTGCATTAATGTGATAAGTCTGGGAACCGCAGTGATTAAAGGCTCTTACAAGCTACTTTTTTCTTTACTTCTTACATGGCATTGTACTGAATAACCTTGCCTGCAAGCTGAAATGTCTTGCGGGTATTATGTGCATTCACAAACACACAAGAATTTATCTTGTCCCGTCTTGGCCAGTGAAGAACCGAACAAAAAAGGGTTTGCCAATCACATCTCAGTGTTATGGTTCAAGGCAGGACGCTGCAAAGAAAGCAAGACATGCCGAGCCCACAGCCCAACCAAAATAACCAATGCTGCATAGAAGGGCGCATGCATTGCTGCTGTCGTATCTGTTTTGTCAGAATCCACAATTTCGTCATTGAAACATGGAACAACCAGAAATGATTTGTGTATTTTGTTCTTTGAGCCTGCTGTTTACAATATTTTCTGTAGTTATGATGAGCGGCTAATATAAAACTTTGGTAGGCAAACACCTTCTCAATGGAAAGCTTTGCTCCAAGTCTTTCTCTGAACAGATTTGATTGATGATGTGTGGAATCGAACATTGAGGATGTGATCTTCACAGCTCTATCCCTCAGGGAGCACACATTGATCACCACTTGCAATAGGCCACATTATGGCATGGTGTTTTGGGGTGGTGATTGTGGAGATCTCCCCCCCTTTCTTTTTAACTGGTTAAGTAAGAGCTAGCCCTTTGTTGACATAACAGCATAACTGTTACATGCATTCTGCTTCTTAATATACCTTACAATCAATCAGTGCCAGAGCGTTCTGACCACATTTTATAAATGCCCTGCCACTGCTGTCACCAGGCTCCTTTAGGTTGCACATGAACCTGAATATGATGCCTGACTTAGTTTCACCCCTGAAAGCTTTTTACATGTAAAAAAAAAAACTCTCATATTCCATCATGCCAGCGTGACAAGAGAATCTCATTTTCTATCCAAGCAGTGACTGGTTTTTATATTTTCAGCAATGGTCTCCCTCTGCTTTGCAGGTCGACGGCAAAGAGACAGGTGAGACCCTGTCAGCTTACAGCTCCTCCCCAGAGATGGTGTACGGAGCAGCTTACCTGGCCATCCTGCCCTCCCACAGGCTGCTGCATGGAAGCAGCTCAGTCCGCTCGGCCCTACAGCGAGCATTCCAGCCAGGGCGAGGTGAACTTCTTTTTAGTCTGACACCAATCATTCCTGCTCCTGCACTACATAAAAAATATCTTGCAGTTTCCACATCTGTTGTGTTTATCTGGGTTTCTTTTTTGTCATAATAAATATTTATTTGGAACATATGTCCATGCAGGTTAGTGGCCTGATGTGTTAAGTTTCTATTTGAAGCAGGAAGTGCCTCTCTAACTCCATCCTATTTTTATTATCCAGACTCACTCACACAGGTCACTGCTCATAACCTATTCACTGGCCACGAGGTTCCTGTGGTGATCTCTCGCAAGGAGGCGTTCGATGACTATCTGGACACTGTCATAGGTGAGTTCACATGTAGAACAGGCTGTTATTAAGCTTTCGAAAAAGCCTTGATTACTGTATATATTTGTTCAAAGCTTTGAGATGAAATCCCTGATGATATTTGTATTAAAGTTGAGGTAAAACCTAAGGGATAATTAGCTACATCACCAACATGTGTGCCATTTCCACAGGGAGGGCTTCCCATTTGTGCTCCTAGATTTTGTTTTAACTTATATAAATATGTGCAGATTTATTCCTGTAAATTGTTTCCATGCTGCTTCTGTTTGTCACAGGTATCCCAGATAGCAGTGAGGAAGACCAGTCTGTGGCCAGAGCACTTAATCTGACTTGGACCACAGTGCTAAAAACCCACAAAGATGGAACAGAAACTCTGATGAATTCTCAGGAGGTGAGCAGAAAAGATGATGAGGATCAAGTCACAAGGAATGTTCGAATTTTGCAGGGTTATACCCTGACCTTGGGAATATACCCCTAAGTCTGATTACATCCTCAGTTTTCTGAGACCTGGCGATCATTGGATCGTTTGATTCAAGAGTGTCGGAGCAGGGATATTTCTAAAATTGTCAGGACACCAACTCTTGAGGACTGGAGTTTCCCATCCCTGCTTTAGTTCATCTTACTATAGTATTTACAACAATAACATTTCTGTTGTTGTGATCTGCGTGTAGTTCTCAGACCTCACCAGGGAGCAGGCGTTTCACTCCATCACCCAGAAGGCCAGAGAGCTGGGGGTTGGAGGCCATCTCACCAGCTCTAAGCTCAGGGACTGGCTGATATCCAGACAGCGTTACTGGGGAACACCCATCCCAGTGGTGCATTGTGAATCCTGTGGTGCTGTTGCCGTCCCAGAGGAGGAGTTACCAGTTACTCTACCAAAAGCGGCATCTCTCACAGGGAAGGGGGCGTCGCCTTTGGGAGCTGTTCATGATTGGGTCAACTGCAAGTGTCCCAGGTGGGAAAACTCACTTTCTAAACACAGATTTATTACATTTTAATGAGACAACTCTACATTACATCTGAAGATCTGGTATTTTCCATCCTTTGTTCTCATCAGCACCCCTAATGGTTGTCACTCTTATATACTACAGTTTCAATGTTTGTAAACAAGCCACATTGGTGTCTAAAATATGATGCACTTGGCTTCAGGCTCACAGTTGCTTATGTTTAAATTTTTTTCCCACTATTCCACTGATTGAGATAGAGAACTGGCACAAGGGTAGGGATGCAGGTGACTGTGCATGGTGAGATGTTTGATATGCAAGTATGGCACGCTGTATTTCATGTGAAGTGTTAAAAAGCATCAGCATTAGAGGAACAATGGAACCCCCTTTATTGGAGCTGAAGCCCCTGTCACACCTTGACGATTTAGACAGCGTATGCCTATGGAAAATCTGGCAAAAAGGCTGCCTTACTTTGGATATGTTATGGGTAGGTTTTGTATAAGTTATGAGCACACTGAAGCGTGCTGAAACACGCATACAAGCATAGTACATCAAGTACCTCGACGTATGCCAGCGTATGCCATTCGTGATCGTTGACATACGTTAATTGTAAGTTACTCATAAGCCGTGGCATCTAGCTTATCCAAAATCTATGAGTAACTTGTGCATAACCTTTGTGTAACTTATCAAGAACTTATTTTCTATTTTATTAATTTATTATTTGACGTGTTCCAGACAATTGCTGAATGTGTTTCTAACTTATAGCTACTGTATAATGGCGTATTGGCAGCGTTTTTAGGTGTGAAAGGGGGTTCACAGGAGGACACTGTCAGTTCTCATCCAGACTTCATCCCCATCATGGGGTGAGTAAGAAGGTGAGTGTGATGGGTCCTCCATGCATTCACGCCCAAGGCCACGACCAACAATCTTCCTAGCAGACATGACTCAGAATCTGCACCAACTTCAAACCTTCTTTGTTTTTTTTTTCCTTTTTATATGTTCCTTTTTTTGGCGGATGGTAAATAGAGGCGAGGTTAACACCATGATCAAAGACATCTTTTTATGCAGACCGGGTGCATCGCTGCCCCCCTCAGGAGCAGCGCTGCTGCTGAGAGGGGGCAGCTTTAACTGATGCTGCCGTGTGTTATGTTATACTGTTAAGTTAGGCTGTCGATGGACATAAGTTCTGGACTCGTTATGAATATGCTATGTATACGCCCAAAATTGAAAAAATACATAGAAAGCTCAGCGAATGCCAGCCTTTTAGAAGATTCTGGGACGTTGGACATACACTGTCTAAATGGGCAAGGTGTGACCTTAGTGACTGGTGACTCAAAAAGCCACATTTGGTCTTAACAATGGCTATAGCTTAAAGATCTTTTTCTGTGAGAATAAAAATAGTAAAGAAACATAGATTATTTCAAAATATTATGTTTCAGTAAATTACAGGTTTATGATATACATACAAAAAAATAAATGGATAAAATATCAAATATTAAAACCAAGTCAACCATTGTCCCATTATCAAATTTTGTAATCAATCGTTCACTATAATTCAAAAGTTAATGTTAGAGTATGTCTTAATTTATTATTCTTTGTATTGATTAGATGAAAGGAAAAACAGATCCACAAGATGGGCCCTCCTTCAGCTTGCTTTACTTGCTTCTCCATCAAATATTCCAGAGTTTTTGGACTGTAGAGTTCTGTAGGTTATTCACTGCTGATAATTTTAATTAATAAAATCTGAAAGTTTTGGAAAACGTTAAGGGGATGTAAATATGTTTGAAGTTACTGCAGAAAACTAGGTACCATGAAACTAATACACTTCAGATTCAGTCATTTACAGGTGGATTATCTTTTCTACTCCATTTATAGAGCTATCTGATGCCTCTTTACTCCCATTGTCTCTCGACTTCTTTGTTTAGCTGTAGATCATCCTCCTAAAGAGGTTTTGACTAAACTATTATATCTTGATTCGATCCCAAAGTACTGCAAACAGTAACACACAGAAGCACCATTTGGATGCTTGATTTTGTTTATAGGAGCCTGTCTTATTTGTTTTTTTTTTGTTTTTTTACAACAAGATGAGTGATCGGGGAAATTATGCAGAGTGCTGTGAGTCAGAATTAAATTATGTGTGAACCCGCTCTGATGG